CACAGTGCACTCAAGAAATCACCTATAGATGGTTTAACATGGTTCGCATAATATATATATATATTTTTTTTTTTCTTCTAGGACTGTTGAGCAATTGAATCTAATTAATTACACATAGTGGTGATTAAGTAATCTAATTAATTGCAAATTAATCACACATCAAATTTGGCTGAGAAATTACCCCGAAAAGATCAATTGAAGCCATTATTGTGTTAAATGAGAAAAGAAACAAAAAGTAACTTTAGAAAGAAATATTTTATTTTAAATATAAATAATGTAAAATATAAAATAAGATCATTTCATAAATGTCTCAGTATTTATTTATTTATTTGTTTGTTTGTTTATTTTCATACAGTGGATGTCAATGGTAACCAAAACTGTTTGGTTACCAACATTCTTCAAAATATCCTCTACAGTATGTTCCACAAAAGAAAGAAAGTCAAACAGGTTTGAAACAACATGAGGGTGAGTAAAAGATGACAGAATTAAATTTTTTGGTTGAACTATCCCTTTAATGGGTTTTTTTATTACAGTTTTTCTCAGTCGCTTTGGTGCATTTCTCAAATCATCCTTAATATTTGCAAAAAAATATGTGCATTTCTCAAAACAATTCGTACAAACAGCACCACACAATGGATTACCTGCAAAAGCCTGTAATTTACTCAAAATCTTTAGTTCATCTCTCAAAATTAAGTATTTATGTCAATGAACATATCAGTGCCATTAGAATGAAAAGTACTTGTGTCATTGTTCACAAACAAGATAGTCAAAATGCTTAGTCATGTTGTCAATATAACCACTTTGTTAGTATTACCTGATGGAAACTATGGCAACATTTTGGATGACAGTTACTGTATTGAACAGTATTCCATATGCTTATGTATGCCATATATCCATTTCAAAAGTACAAATTTACACATTACTGTATGTGGGATATTGATTGAAAGAGGCTGGATAGAATTCCCAGTTACACTTTTACTAGTGGTCTGACCAAAAAAAAACAAAAAAACACACATTACAATGTCATTGAAAAGGAAAAAGTAATATTGGCACAAATATAATAATAAAAAATAAAAAAAGAAAGTCCATTGTCAGAAGTTGTAACTCTTGTGTTGTCCTCTGTCTATACAGTATATGCTTTCCAACTGAAGATTCATGAGATGAACCTTTGAGACATTTCAGAGAAATGGTTTATCATTGGTTGATCTACATTCTCTTCATTAGTGAAAGTCAAGATTCACTTGCACAATTCATGCCAAATTTACAAAAAGTCTAATAAAAACTTATTCAAAAGAATGAGAAACTGGTTTTATGATGTGTACAAATGACTAGATGATGTGGAGGTTGTACAAGTAGTTTTGAGAATTTCATTTCTGATTTGAGAAATGCACCAAAGCGACTGAGAAAAACTGTATTTATTCATTCCATTACTGATTCTTTCATGAATGAAGTAAATGGCTCTCTTTATGAATGGGTCATTGAATCATTGACGCAACACTGTTCTGCTCTGGCTTTAATATTTTTCATGGCGAAACTAAACTAAAACAGACAATATTGTGTCTAAAATATAACACAATATTAAATTCTTATTTATTGAACTTGTATAAAATCAATATCACATTTGCACTCTTGCTATTTGGGACAAAAACAACACTCAAGTGATATTGCACTCCTTGCTTGTGTGATATTGCTTAACTATATCATATTATATAAATATCAGACAGAAACTTCATACAATTAAATATCTTGAATTTTAGGGGGATATAACTGCATTCTATAGGCTATATCATGCAGCGAGTTGTTGGCCTGCATCATGAAATATTTCACACAAAAATCAATATTGATATTGAAAATGATATTTTCATGGTGTTTAGGGTGTGTTAATGTCCTTTTTGGAGTTTGATTTGTTGAATGTTGAATGTATTGCTGTTTTATGACAAAAGCTATAGAAAAATTCTTAAAATCAGAAAAAGAGTTCCAGCTATTAGAGGCCTCTCCCTAAGAGATACTGTAAATGGACAAAACCAACTGCTAAAGGTCTCAAATAGTCCTGCAAGCTCCAGTAAATTGTTTTCAAGAGAATAGAGAAGTATTTGGGGACATAAAAGGTCTAACTGCAAGCCACTGTGGTGGCATGGACCCTCTCGCTTCTTTCCAGGGGATTGATCATGATATGGAGGCTCTCATGCAATAAATGGCTTCAGGGAGAGCTGGAGATGAGCATCCCCGGAGCGTGGCTCCCCTTAACGACGCCTCCCCTTTCACCTACGGAAATGTTAAGTACGGGCTCGGGAGCACTGAAGCGGAGCGACGTCCGCCTGGCCGTATTTCATGCAGATGGACAGGTTAAATATGCCAGCCACACATCTGATGCTGGGCAATCTTTTTCTCTTCTCCTACCTTAATCTCGCTCTTTTCAACCCTTTAGTTTCTCGTTTTGTGGTGTCACCCCTTCAAAGCAATTTCTCCTTTAGCTTTATCAGCCGTGCATTAAAGGTGTCTTCTTAAAGCATTAAGAATGATGGCTCACTGTTGCCCGCTAAAGGTTAATGCGTTGGATGATTGTAAATTGTTTGGCTATAGCTCAAAAGGAAAAAAGGAAGGAAGTGCTCAATCTTAAAATACGTTGAGCCACTG